GATACTCGATTCACTTTGATACTTAAAAAATTCGTATCGAAAAAGAATCGGAAAAAAAAAATCCAAACAAAAATAAAAACAAAATAACAAATATTTTTCTGTTATTATTATTGTTAAATTAATCAAAACAGATTTGAATTATTTAAATATTTATCAAAACATATTTTAATGATTCAAATACGTATCTCTTTTCCCTAACATTTTATTTTTTTCGAGAGCTTATAGTTTGATGCCACATTTTATTTTTTTCGAGAGCTTATAGTTTCATGCCATTTGTTTTTCCTTGATTTTCTCTCACTCCCTCCGTCATGGGTTTGTTTTTTATCTTTTCCCGCGTTGATTTTTCTTTGTTTTTTTTTTTCGCTCCCTTGTCTTCCAACATGACACTTTCCTCTCTTTTTTTTTTCCGTGTTCTAACGTGTGAGATTGCTCTCCTCTTTCTTTAGTGTGTGTAATAGCTCCACCGTCTTCTAGAGTGTTCCAACATGAGTAAGTGTGTGCAACACTTTTTCCACGTGAGACTTACTACGTGTTCGTGATATTGGGTGATAGGTAATATATTATTTATAAATTTTAGTTAATATATTTGGATTTCAAAATATATAATATATTATTAATAATATATATTATGTTTTTAGATTAACTTTATTTAATAATTATTTATAATTTGATTTTTTTAATTAATTAAATTTTATTAATAATTTAAATAATTAATTTTTATATAAATACTAATATATAATATTATTTCTTGATAAACCGAGACATGGAAGTCTGTTTTATTTATTGATGATCCTCAAGAAGAGATAAAATTGATACTATTTCTATTTCTAAACAATAAGTAGTTATTGTTAATTTTTATTTTACATTTAATTTTTTTTAAAGTCAAATATACATTTAAAAATATATTTAATGTGTTCAATTTAAATAATATTTAATAATTATATATAATTTTTTTATGAATTATATATATATATATATATATATATATATATATATATTCGGAAAATTAGATTAACTCGAAATATGATTTTTATTATATCAATACAGGAGACCTAAGCTATTTTAGGAAATATAATAACTCTATTTTATGCTAGGATCCCCTGATTTATGGGATTATTCCTAATTATTCAAATCTATACAGATTACAAGGAAATATACAAATTTCCTGATTTATTCTTTCCTAAAATACTATTTTATTTCCCACACTCCCCCTCAAGCTGGTGAATAAATGTTTTCTATTCCTAGCTTGGATACAATCTTCTCAAAATTATGGCAGCCCAGTCCTTTGGTAAGAATGTCTGCAATTTGGTCTTGAGAGGACACATATGGAGTGCATATCAAGCCACTATCAAACTTTTCAAAGTGTCTGTCTTCTTCAATATGCTTTGTTCTATCATGCTGCACTGGGTTGTGGGCTATACTGATTACTGACTTATTATCACAATAGAACTTCATAGGTTCTTCCCACTTTATCCTCAAGTCTTCTAAGATGATTTTAAGCGATAACAATTCACATATACCTTGTGTCATGGCTCGAAATTCTGCTTTAGCACTGGACCGAGCCACTACACCCTGCTTTTTGCTTCTCCAAGTCACAAGATTTCCTCCAAGAAAGGTGCAATATCCTGTAGTTGACCTCCTATCCACAATTGACCCTGCATAATCAGCATCAGTATAGGCTTCAAGCTTCACATTACCATTCTTTTTGAATAGAATCCCTCTTCCTGGAGTTCCTTTAAGGTACTGTAAAATTCTGTGGGCAGCTTGTAAATGGGTCTCCTTTGGGTTATGCATAAATTGGCTAATTAAACTCACTGCATAGGCAATATCTGGCCTGGTATGCGACAAATATATAAGTCTGCCCACTAATCTTTGGTACATATCTTTTTCAACAGCAACATCTTTTGCATTTCCAAGCTTTAGGTTTGGTTCTAATGGGGTACTAGCAGGTTTGCAAGCTGCCTTGCCAGTTTCCTTGAGCAAATCAGTGATGTATTTCTGCTGAGATATAAATATCCCTTTCTCGGAGTGGGCAACTTCAATTCCCAAAAAATATTTTAGTTTTCCCAAGGTCTTGATCTCAAATTCCTTGTCTAAGCATTGGCTCAATAATTGATGCTCTTCGTTATTATCTCCAGTTAATATTATGTCATCCACATACACCAATAATATTGTTACTCCCCCTTGGAATGTTTAAAAAACAAAGTATGGTCCCCTTGGCTTTGTTTGTAACCCAGACCTGTCATAACTTTAGTAAACCTGCCAAACCATGCACGGGGGGACTGTTTTAACCCATATAATGCCTTTTTCAACTTGCAAACAGTGTTGGCAGCAACATCCTGGAAGTATCTCCATTTAAATTTCTTCTTCAAGGTCTCCATGTAGGAAAGTTTTCTTAACGTCAAATTGTTCCAAGTTCCAACCATAATTAGCAGCAAGGGACAATATCACCCTAACTGTGTTCATTTTGGCAACCGGAGCAAAGGTCTCCAAATAATCAACTTCAATTTGATCTTCAATTTGATCTCATTTAGGTTCAAATATCAAGTCTGGAAGAATGGGAAACCCATAATTACTATTTTCAATATGATTTCGTTTAGGTTCAAATGTCAAGTCTAGAAGAATGGGAAAACCATAATTACTATCTTCCTTATCTTCCCTGAAACTCTCCCCCTGAAGATAAGGTTGATGGAAATAGCCCTCTTGTTCATTGAAGGTAACATCCCTAGACACAAAAAATTTTTTTGGATGGGGGGTGGTAGCATTTATACCCTTTTTGAGTGGGTGAGTAACCAACAAAGACACATTTTCAGGCTCTAGGATCAAGTTTCCCCTTGTCTGTACTATGAATATGAACATATGAGATGCACCCAAAAACTCTTGGTTTAAGATTATTTGTAGTAGACAAGTTTGGATAGAAAGACGACAAAGCTTCCATAGGGCTTTTTGATCCTAAGACTCTAGAGGGTAGTCTTTTGATAAGGTATGTTGTTGTAAGGACAACTTCCCCCCAGAAATTTTTTGGGACACTTTTTTGGAACAACAATGCCCGAGTCTGATTTAATAGATGTCCATTTTTCCTTTCTGCGACCCCATTCTGTTGTGGTGTTTTCACATAAGAGGACTCATGAATTATACCTTCTTTTTGACAAAAAAAATTAAGGACATGATTGAAGTAATCTTTGACATTATTTGACCTAAGCATCTTAATATTAACACCAAACTGATTTTTTATCATGGAGTGGAAATTTAGGAAGACAGAACTGACTTCTGATTTTTGTTTAAGTAGGAAAACCCAAGTGATCCTTGTACAGTCATCTATAAAGGTAACAAACCATCGAGTACCAGACACATTTGGAATATTAGAAGGTCCCCATACATCAGTATGAACAAGATAAAAAGAGAAATTGCTAATTCTATTACTTATTGAAAAAGATATACGCTTGTGCTTAGCAAGTTCACACACCTCACAATGAAGACTCTCAACATCTAACTTGGTAAACAGAGAGGGAAACATAATTTTGATCACTTCAAAAGAGGGATGTCCCAACCGACAATGATAAAGCATGATTTTTTCTCTGTTGGTCATCAAGGATTCAAATATGAAGGAGTGAGAGATTCTATTCTTGCTGGGTAGACTTGGATCTTCGAGATAATAAAGGCCATTCCATTCTCTAGCATGTCCAATCATCCTCCCCGAATCCTTGTCCTGAAATACACAATGATCGTTAAAAAAAAACAACTTTACATGACAAATCCTTTATAAGTTTTTGTATAGACACTAGGTTCGTGGACAGCTTTGGGACATGGAGAACATCTTTTAAGGTTATTAAAGGATTAATTTGGATATTTCCTTGACCAGCTGCAGTTATTAGGGTTCCATCTGCTGTGGCAATTTTCTTGTAGCCGGGACATGGGAAATATGTGGAGAAGTGTTTGGCTAATGGTGTCATGTGATCTCGTGGTTCCGAGTCCAATATCCAATAATGGTTAAAAGGTGTATCTCGAGACATTTAATCCAAAAGAAGGTGGAAACTTACCCGAGTATGGCAAAGAACACATACCCGTAGGTTATTCCAGACTTACTAAGAACGGTTTTCACCCTTTCTATCTCCTCTTCCCTTGACATTATAGCAAAAGGTGCGATGCAACAACGAATGCAGTCGTCGTCTTAGGATTAAGAAAAATGCATCAGCAATGCAGTCGCCGTCTTAGGGTTAAGAAAAATGCGAGCAGCAATGCAGGCTGCCGTCTTAGGGTTAAGAAAAATGCAGCAGCAATGCAGGCGGCCATCTTTGGGTTAAGAAATATGCAGCAGCAATGCAGGCTGCCGTCTTAGGGTTTATCGCGCGCAGACAGAGCTTTCTAGATCGGAAGCTCTGATACCATCTGGAAAATTAGATTAACTAGATATGATTTTTATTATATCAATACAAAGAGATGATATAAGATATATACAGGAGACATAAACTATTTTAAGAAGTATAATAATTCTATTTTATGCTAGGATCCCTTGATTTATGGGATTGTTCCTAATTATTCAAATCAGTATAGATTACAAGGAAATATACAAATTTTCTGATTTATTCTTTCTTAAAATACTATTTGATTTTCCATATATATATATATATATATATATATATATATATACACACACACACACACACACACACACGTATCTTAAGCATATTGTCGGATACGTATCGTATCCGATACTCGTATCATATCTGTGCATCATAGGTTATCACCAATCATTACATAGATAGTCTCACACGTGGATAAATGGGGAGGGATAATTAGGCAATTGCCATATAACTTAAAGCTTTATCAAATCTTTATGAAATAGGTAGATACTTTGATTATGTTTTGAACTATTTTGAGAAAACACAATAGCATCCTTTGATTTGGTCCATCCATGTAACTGAATCCGCTGGTTGAGAAAAGGCTTTTGTTGTATTTGAATGCTTCATTCCAATTCTTATTTTATCTTCTTGCTTTAGGTCAGTGATGAGGAACTTGAATCTATTCTGCCATCTGCTGCTTATGCACTTGCCAAGATACACTTGTATCTGGTTAATAGTGGGTTAGTGTGTCTTTTATCATGATTCAAAATGTCATAGAATTGTGTTTGATAACTAAAAATTTCTGTCTGTCCATACTAGATACTGTTATACAGCCCGAGGTGGTTTTTGTTATTCAGAGGAGGACATATTTGAATTTCATGCAGGTAAGGATTTTTTTTTTTTTACTACAAGAGTAATGTATTATATTTAGATAACATGGAAAATATAAGATTCTATATGGTTTATACATCATTCGGTTAAGACTCTATCTATCTATAGTGCATGGCCGAAAACATAAGAATGGTTAAAGGGAAAGTTAACTATCATGCCATGGTGTCTTCAACTTCGGGCCACAAACCTAAGGGACCCAGGCCTAACTAAGGGGGTTCTAGACTCTTTTAACACATGAATAAGGTCCCAAAATCACAGTGATAAATTTGCACATGGGAGGAGCACAACAAGTACTGCCCTCTGACACATAGGAAGCGGTTACTGTGGCTGTTAGAGTGCACACAGCATTAGAGGCGTGGTACCATGTACCCACATTATCATGTATGGGTCGTGCATAATAGGGCTTGCTAAATCTCTTGAGCCTCTCTCTGGCCTTTTAAGATTTCTAAGGAGGGAGGATGTGTTTTCTAGTGTGAAATAGTTTGGAATTTGTGCGGTAAATACATCCTCGTTGGAGCTTGGTCTTGTTATTTGTTCATATCTCTTTGGTTTAAAAGCCACCTTTCTCTTTGTTTTATTCCCTTCATAAACTCGTTATAGTTTTATATTAATTATCTTCCACGGAAGTTAATCTTCCCTTTATATAAAAATGAATTTTCTAGCATACAAGCATAAATAATAAATGGAGCTGCTGAGGATTTATTTATTGCAGATCTCCTGTCTATTTATGTGACATTTTGTTGGTTGGTTCTCCTTGATATAATAAATTTCATACAACCATTACTTGTAGATATTAGCAGTATGTTAATTTTATCTATCCATTACTTCCACAGTTGTCTATCTAGTTTTATCAAAATATGTAAATACGTTGCAAAACTGGCAATTTTAAGCTTTTAAAGATTACTTGCTTATGTCTCCAATTCAATCTTAATGTGCAAGTTGGGTCAAATTTTTATTCGGTAAAAGTATCTTTCTTGCATGTCTTTTTTATCCAGAAGAATTATGGCAGGTCTTCTACGCTTATTCTTTCACTTTGTCAACTATGTGTTCCTGAATTTGATGTGGAGAAAAAAAAAATGCTTTACATACCTCACTACCATTTTTTCATTTCCCCAAATTGCCATCTTTGATCTAAGGCGGTTACTATCAATTTATTACCCGGCTTTGTATCTTCACGGCAGTATTTTGGGATGAAGATCAACTTATGATCATTCGGGAATGCATGCTAAAGTGATAGCTTACTGAATAAGCATTTGAATTGTATGTCTAAAAGTAAATGATGATGTTCCCATTTTGCAGATGGTAAAGGAGACAGCTTGCCAACCGAAGGTGTAGAAATTGTAACCTTCAGTCTGGTAATTTTATATACCTTCAATTGCACAAATATGTTTATCTTTTAACAGAAGCATAGCTTCCCTGGTATTTTTTACCTTTCTGGAATTTGAATATTTAGACTATTTTTTAGCAATTTGAGATAACTTTGATTGTTGAGACTTTTATTCTTCACTAATACGCACATAATAATGACAGACTTTCTGAATTGAATTTTGTATAGGTTAAATATTCCATTTTATAATCAGAGTCTTGCTAACATACACTTGAAATAACAAATGTGAACCAAGTTATGAAGATGAACACACAAATGTGTTAGTTTGTAAAAGCCTCGCTCACCATAATGCTTCTTTGTTAAAAATATCCCTCGCATTGAGAATGGCTGTACCTTGTCTTATTGTCCGCAATGTCCCTTGCATTAATTATTTTATACTGAAATACCCCTAATTAAAAAGTAGAAGTTGTACTGACAAGTAATTACTTGTTCCTTCCACCTTATATGATGTTTGAGAGAGCAAAAACTTGTTTTTACATTAATTGTTGTTTTACTAAATGCATGATACATTTGATTTTTTTTTTTTCAAGGACTGACCTTCATCAATATCTACAGTACTATCTTAATTATCATCTATAAGAAAAAAAATCACTTTTGTTTATCAAATATAAGCCAATTATAACTACTTTTACTTCATTTAGTGATACTTTTCTAAAATACCACAATTTTAATTAATATTTGACCTTTGGTTACAACATCATAAAATGTACTTTTTGTTTTACGAGAAGGACATTTAAGAAAATATTAAGAGATTAAGAAAATTTAATGCAGTCAACTAATTTCCTTAATATATGTGAAGTTGTTTCTTTTTTACTTATAAATAGAACGGAGGTAGTAGGATTGTTGAACAATAAGAGTAAATGAATTAGTCATTACAGAGTTAAAGGGTAAATTAGTAAGTTACATAATGCCTTCTATCAAATTCATAATATTAATTGCATTCCTTAATGCGTGTGTCAAAACCTTAGTTGTCATATATAGAGTGGAATAAATAGAGTAGAAAAGAGAAGAGTATTATTGATAATATGAGTAATTTGAAAAAGATGTAAATTTTTTGCTATCAAGTAGCTTCTTTCTAAGTATTAATGAATTAGGTAATTGATTCTTAAAAATAAGAATGAATATCAGCGAGTGATGAGATCTTGACAATTGATTTTGAAGAGACCAAATAATATATTATTAATAAATAATAAATGAATAAGAAAAGGTGAAAGAATATGAAAGGATAAGAGATTAAATTTGTAAATATACAAGTAAATATATTTAATAATCATGAAGTGTGGAGGATTAAAATCATAAATACTAATATAAGTTATGAAACTTTTGGGAGCATGACTCCCCTCACCTCTTAAGATACTCACAACTGAATATAAATGAGAAAATTCCATAAATTTTAACCTTAGATTTGGAATGGATGCCATGTTTTCTTATATGATTAACTTATGATTTATTGATAAAAATATTTCCTCAGTGTAACACATTGGAAAATCCAACAATTGATGTCGTCTATGAGAAGTAATTCGATGAAGGATTGGTGATGAATCCCTCCCTAATATTGAAAGCCTATAAAGGTTCAGGCAAACATGTATTAAGTATGGGTCACTACTTGGGTACTTGATGATAAAAATTGCTTTGAGTATGGGGGAGTGGACCATTGAGCAACATATAAGATAAGATGACACTTTTTCAACAAAAAACCTTAAGATTATAGGTTTGTGAGTATTTTTAACTTAAATGTTGCTTAAATATTCTCAATAATACCATCAAGAAATAAATATATGGAAAATTAGATTAAATGAAATCTGATTTTATTATTTTAATATGAAGAGATCATACAAGATATATACAGGAGACGTAAGCTATTTTAGGAAATATAATAACTTTATTTTATTCTGGGATCCCTTGATTTATGGGATTGTTCCTAATTGTTCAAATCTGTACCGATTACAAATTTCCTAATTTATTCTTTCCTAAAATACTATTTGATTTCCCACACTCCCCCTCAAGCTGGTGAATAGGTGTTTTTCATTTCTAACTTGGATACAATCTTCTCAAAATTGTGGCAGCCCAGTCCCTGGGTAAGAATGTCTGCAATTTGGTCTTGAGAGGACACATATGGAGTGCATATCAAGCCACTATCAAGCTTTTCTTTGATGAAGTATCTTCTACTTCAATATGCGTTGTTCTATTATGCTGCAATGGGTCGTGGGCTATGCTGATTGCTGACTTATTATCACAATAGACCTTCATAGGTTCTTCCCATTTTATCCTCAAGTCTTCTAAGATGATTTTAAGTCATAGCAACTCACATATATCTTGTGCCATGACTCGGAATTCCGCTTTAGCACTGGACCGAGCCACTACACCCTGCTTTTTGCTTCTCCAAGTCACAAGATTTCCTCCAAGAAATATGCAATATCCTGTAGTTGACCTCCTATCCACAATTGACCCCGCATAATCAGCATCAGTATAGGCTTCAAGCTTCACATTACCATTCCTTTTAAATAGAATCCCTCTTTCTGGAGTTCCTTTAAGGTACTGTAAAATTTTGTGGGAAACTTGTAAATGGGTCTCTTTTGGGTTATGTATAAATTGGCTAATTAAACTCACTGCATAGGCAATATCTGGCCTGGTATGCAACAAATATATAAGTCTGTCCACTAATCGTTGGTACATATATTTTTCAACAGCAACATCTTTTTCTGCATTTCTAAGCTTTAGGCTTGGTTCTAATGGGGTACTAGCACGTTTGCAAGCTGCCTTGCTAGTTTCCTTGAGAAAATCAGTGATGTATATCTGCTGGGATATAAATATCCCTTTCTTGGAGTGGGCAACTTCATTTCCCAAAAAATATTTTAGTTTTTCCAAGGTCTTGATCTCAAATTCCTTACCTAAGCATTGACTCAACAATTGTTACTCTCTCTGACTTGGAATGTTTAAAGAACAAAGTATGGTCCTCTTGGCTTTGTTTGTAACCCAGACCTGTCATAACTTTTAGTAAATCTGCCAAACCATGCACGGGGGATTGTTTTAGCCCATATAATGTCTTTTTCAATTTGCAAACAATGTTGGCAGCAACATCTCTACCATATCCCGGAGGTATCTGCATATAAATTTCTTCTTCAAGGTCTAAATGTAGGAAAACATTCTTAATATCAAATTATTCCAAGTTCCAACCATAATTGATAGCAGGGGACAATATCACCCTAACTGTGTTCATTTTGGCAATCGGAGCAAAGGTCTCCAAATAATCAACTCCATAGTTTTGGGTGAACCCTTTGGCAACTAGTATTGCCTTATATCTCTCAATTGATCTATCAGTCTTGTATTTCATTGTATGGATCCACCTCTTACATCCAACTGGCCTTTTTCCTATTGGTAAGGTGACTAACTCCCAGATGTTGTTCTTCTCCAATGCTCCATCTCTACATCCATGGCTTGCCTCCATTTTCTATCAGACAATGTCACAGATAGGGTATTAGGTAGAAGTGCAGTGTTTAGGTTTACTAGGAAGGTTTTATGGGTAGGAGAGAAATTTTTAAAGGATAGGTAATTTGAGAGAGGGTAGAGTGGCTGTTTGGTGCATTTTCTTGTCCCTTTTCTAATGGCAATTGGGAAGTCAAGATCATTTTGGGTTTCAATTTCAACCTACACAACTAGAGAAAAAATTGTTACCTCTTTTTGTGGAGTCGAGTTGGATTCTTGAACATGGCTTGATCCTGGAATGACCTTAGTCTTCCTTGAGTACACCAACTTCTTATCAAATTTTTCAGCTTCAACATCTCCTTGAACAACTTCACAATTAATTTCACTTTCTTGACTAGTTTCCTTTTCTTGACCAATTCCTTGAGTTTCCTTTTTTTGAAACCAATTCTTTGACTTGTTTCACATGTTACAGCTTCAATTTGATCTCGTTTAGGTGCAAATATCAAGTCTGGAAGAATGGGAAAACCAAAATTACTATTTTCAATTTGATCTCGTTTAGGTTCAAATATCAAGTCTGGAAGAATGGGAAAACCAGAATTACTACTTTCCTTATCTTCCCTGAAACTCTCCCCCTGAAGATAAGGTTGATGGAAATAGCCCTCTTGTTCATTGAAGGTAACATCCCTAGACACAGAATTTTTTTATGGAGGGGGGGTGGTAGCATTTATACCCTTTCTGAGTGGGTGAGTAACTAACAAAGACACACTTAAAGGCTCTAGGATCAAGTTTTCCCCTGTCTGTACTATGAATATGGACATATGAGATGTACCAAAAAACTCTTGGTTTAAGATTATTTGTAGTGGACAGGTTTGGATAGAAAGACGACAAAGCTTCCATAGGGCTTTTTGATCCTAAGACTCGGGTAATCTATTGATAAGGTATGTTGCTGTAAGGACAGCTTCGCCCCAGAAATCTTTTTGAACACTTTTTTGGAACAACAATGCCCGAGTATAATTTAATATATGTCCATTTTTCCTCTCTGCGACTCTATTCTGCTGTGGTGTTTTGACAGAAGAGGACTCATGGATTATACCTTCTTTTTGACAAAAAGAATTAATTAAGGACATGATTTAAGTAATCTTTGGCATTATTTGAACTAAGCCTCTTAATATTAACACCAAGCTGATTTTTTATCAAGGAGTGGAAGTTTAGGAAGACAGAATTGACTTCTGATTTTTGTTTAAGTAGGAAAACCCAAATGACCCTTGTACAGTCATCTATAAAGTTGACAAACCATCGAGCACCAAACACATTTGGAACATTAGAAGATCCCCATACATCAGTATGAGCAAGATAAAAAGGAAAATTGCTAATTCTATTACTTATTGAAAAAGATACACGCTTGTGCTTTAGCAAGTTCACACACCTCACAATGAAAATTCTCAACATCTAACTTGGTAAACAGATAGGGAAACATAATTTTGATATCTCCAAAATTGGAATGTCCCAACCAATAATGATA